ATCAACGGCTGGAGAAACAGGAAGGATGACCTCCTGGAAATGCTGTCGCGGCTAGAAGTAGACGTCATGGCACTACAGGAAACAAAAATAAGGACTGAGATGAGATGTCGTATCCCAGGATACAATACATACAGGGCAGAGAGGCCAGGGGGACGCAATACCGCGGGGGGCGCTGCGTTATTAGTGAAAGCAGATTCAATACAGTACGAAGACAGGAAACCGGACATAGCAATCGGCGAAGCCATAGCGGTCAAAGTCAAGACTAGTCGCTACGACCAAATAAGAATAGCATCAGTGTACCTTCGCCCACAATCCAGAGAAACAAGGCTAGAACGAACGGATATGGTAGAAATATTCCCAGACCACTTACCAACAGTAGCCATCGGCGACTTTAACGCCAAATCACGACAGTGGAATTGTATGTACGGAAACGCGAGAGGAAACGTACTAATAAGACTACTAAAAGAATTTGAGGAGATAGCAGTGGTGGCACCGCACACTCCAACTCACTACCCACAAAGAGGCATAGAACAACTTGCCGACATCCTCGACATCGCACTGGTACAAAACATCGAAACAACGGAGATGGAAGTGCTAGACGAAGGGTCGTCAGACCACAACCCCGTCCTATTTTCAATAGGAAGAGGCGAAGTAGAAAACCCAGTTAAGCGAGTAATTAACTGGAATAGATTCAAGCGCGCCATACACGATGCGATGGGAGACATGCCACGCATCGAAACAACAGAAGACCTGAGGAACGCTGTGGACCAACTACAGCAAGCAATAATCAGAACGGTGAACGAAAGCGCAAGGGAAGTCCCTGCCCCACGCTTCAACTTCCATGACCACCTCCCACCAGAAACGGTGGAACTGATTAGGATAAGGAGAAGACTGATAAGACAGTTCCAGAGAACTCGAGCACCTCTGGACAAAGCTTGCATGAACAGAGCCAACCGAGGGCTGAAGGAAGAACTAAAAAACATCAGAGACAGACAGTGGACTACCCGTCTAGAAGAGTTAAACACCGAGGATAACTCTGCATGGAGAATGCAGAAGATACTAAGGAACGGACCTCGTCAGCCATGCCCGCGTATACGCGGGGATCGAGAGGCAGTGCAGAGAGAACAGAGTCCCTCTTATAGACGAAGTAGAAGAAACAGAAAGACAGGTGGAAAGAACGGCGCGAAGAATAAAGAATCGACGAACGAACACCCAACCCCTGGCCACGACATCTCCCGAGGAGGTGAAAGGCATCTTAAGACGCCTAATCACTCGGAAAGCCCCAGGCCCGGACGGAATAACAAACCGGGCACTGAAAGTCCTGCCCCGAAAAGGCATAGCAGCCATCACAAACATCGTGAATGGCATACTGAGACTACAACATTTCCCGCGCCCGTTCAAGGAGGCAACGGTAATTCACATACCGAAGCCAGGAAAAAACCACCTGCTCCCGCAAAACCACAGCAAAGTGGCGGAACGCGTTATCCTAAAAAGAATAGAGGAACAAACAAACGAACTGGGAGTCATTCCGGACGAACAGTTCGGTTTCAGATCCGAACACTCCACCGAGCTACAAGTCATCCTAAGGGTCGTGGACTTTGCAACAGAGGGATTCAACCTTGGCAGAGGACGCAACACCGGAGCCATATTCCTAGACGTCTCCAAGGCGTTCNTAGGATCCTGGAATATCAACGGCTGGAGAAACAGGAAGGATGAGCTCCTGGAAATGCTGTCGCGGCTAGAAATAGACATCATGGCACTACAGGAGACAAAAATTAGGACTGAGATGAGATGTGGTATCCCAGGATACAATACATACAGGGCAAAAAGGCCAGGGGGACGCAATGCCGCGGGGGGCGCTGCGTTATTAGTGAAAGCAGATTTAATACAGTACGAAGACAGGAAACCGGACATAGCAATCGGCGAAGCCATATCGGTCAAAGTCAAGACTAGTCGCTACGACCAAATAAGAATAGCATCAGTGTACCTCCGCCCACAATCCAGAGAAACAAGGCTAGAACGAACGGATATGGTAGAAATATTCCCAGACCACTTACCAACAGTAGCCATCGGCGACTTTAACGCCAAATCACGACAGTGGAATTGTATGTATGGAAACGCGAGAGGAAACGTACTAATAAGACCATTGAAGAGTTTGAGGAGATAGCAGTGGTGGCACCGCACACTCCAACTCACTACCCACAAAGAGGCATAGAACAACTTGCCGACATCCTCGACATCGCACTAGTACAAAACATCGAAACAACGGAGATGGAAGTGCTAGACGAAGGGTCGTCAGACCACAACCCCGTCCTATTCTCAATAGGAAGAGGTGAAGTGGAAGTAGACAACCCAGTTAAGCGAGTAATAAACTGGAATAGATTCCAGCGCGCCATACACGATGCGATGGGAGACATGCCACGAATCGAAACAACTGAGGATCTGAGGAACGCTGTGGACCCACTACACAGCAAGCAATAATCAGAACGGTGAACGAAAGCGCAAGGGAAGTCCCTGCCCCACGCTTCAACTTCCAAGACCACCTCCCACCAGAAACGGTGGAACTGATTAGGATAAGGAGAAGACTGAAAAGACAGTTCCAGAGAACTCGATCACCTCTGGACAAAGCTTGCATGAACAGAGCCAACCGATTGTCGAAGGAAGAACTAAAAAACATCAGAGACAGATAGTGGACTACCCGTCTAGAAGAGTTAAACACCGAGGATAACTCTGCATGGAGAATGCAGAAGATACTAAGGAACGGACCTCGTCAGCCATCATGCCCGCGTATACGCGGGGACAACGGAATCGTCTACACTGACCTGGAGAAGGCGGAAGCATTTGCGGACAACTTCGAGAGGCAGTGCAGAGAGAACAGAGTCCCTCTTACAGACGAAGTAGAAGAAACAGAAAGACAGGTGGAAAGAACGGCGCGAAGAAAAGGCATAGCAGCCATCACAAACATCGTGAATGGCATACTGAGACTGCAGCACTTCCCGCGCCCGTTCAAGGAGGCAACGATAATTCACATACCGAAGCCAGGAAAAAACCACCTGCTCCCACAAAACCACAGGCCCAATCAGCTTACTCCCAGCCATCAGCAAAGTGGCGGAACGCGTTATCCTAAAAAGACTAGAGAAACAAACAAACGAACTGGGAGTCCTTCCGGACGAACAGTTCGGTTTCAGATCCGAACACTCCACCGAGCTACAAGTCCTAAGGGTCGTGGACTTTGCAACAGAGGGATTCAACCTCGGCAGAGGACGCAACACCGGAGCCATATTCCTAGAAGTCTCCAAGGCATTCGACAGAGTGTGGCATAACGGACTAATAGCGAAGATGAGCGATTTCGGCTACCCGGAAACAATGGTAAGATTAATCGATTCCTTTTTAGAAAACAGGACGTTCCGCTGCAGAGTGGGAAAGGAACTCTCGACAACCCGACAACTAGAAGCAGGAGTCCCGCAAGGCGCGGTCCTTTCGCCACACCTCTTCTCTATATACACAGCAGACGTGCCCAGGCCAGAGAACGGCATTAATAAGCTGGCTCTCTATGCAGACGACACGGCCCTGCTGGCTAGATCCAACAGCGCAACTCACGTTACCAGGTACCTACAGCAACAAGTAGATAGACTAGAGAAATGGGCAAACCGATGGAAGATCGCAATTAACCCTGACAAGAGCCAGGCGATACTGTTCACCCGAAGGCGACGCATGCAACCGGAAGGACACGTCCTCTACAACGGACAAGAGATTCCCTGGAAGGAAAAGGCCAAATACCTGGGGGTCACCCTGGACAAAAGACTGACGTTCCGGGCTCACGTAAGGGAGAGAATAGGGATGGCGAGATCAGCCAGACACAAGCTAAAGCCAATTATAGGCCCCAAATCCAACATGGGGCTGAAAGTTAAGCTGCTAATGATCAGAACAATAATCCTCCCAATGATACTGTACGCCAGCGCAGCATGGGGACACTGCGCGCAGACGTACAGAAACAGCATACAATCGTTTATGAACGCGTGCGTAAGGGCCGCCCTAAACGCACCCAGATACGTGCCCAACAGGTACATCAACAGAGACTTGGACCAGGACCCCCATTACGTGGACACATACCTGAGAAAAGACGCAGAGAGCGTTTTTGAAGGAATCAGAGCGCAAGATAACCCGGCGTTTCGAGACCTGCACGAATCGCTGAACATGGACGACCCCAGGTTCAGAGAACGGGATAAATACAAAAGACCGATAGACCAGAACAACAGGCCTCCCCCGCGAGTCGCCGTCAGGCGGCTCCGGTAAGTATAATATTCCAGCGTGTACTAACCATATATTCTCTTTCAGCAAAACCGCGATTTCACTTTTCAACTCACATTCTCTCAGCTTTACTGAGAAACGCCCGTCTGCCATAGCTCTAGCCGCCGTTAGTTTTGGGGGCCCCCATGCAAAAATTCAGTTAGGAATACCGCGACAAACAAGAGCCAAATAATTAATTAAAACACGAAAATAGATAGGGAAATAAAAGCACCTAAAGGCTGGTTTCCAACCCAAAAGAGGTTAGATATCAATCTTGCTGAAGTGCCAGCAGCTGGATTGAGGACCGTTTCCTTAAGAAACGGGGGTGGAAGGAAAGGGTCGCCAGGTCCAAACCTGCGGAAGCATTTCCGTAAGGAGGGAGCTTGCGACCTGGGCACACAACCCGGGAGGGGCATGGGGGGGATTCCCAGGCACTTTGCTGTCTGGGTCTATAGGTGATCTACTGGAATAATTTCAGTATGGTCTTGCTGCTGGATGAACTAAAAACATCTAGGAGAATAACCTCTGTGAAGTATCTTGCATAAAGGGTGGTATTAGCGGGGGAAGTAGTTTTTTCCGACAGACATTTACCAGAGCCTACTGTGTAGATAGTTAAGAGAAATGAATGTTTCGAAATTCTATTTCGAAATATTAATTTTTTTATATTTAAGCAACAAAAATAGACTTGGGAGAATAAATAAAAATAATGATGTCAGCAATAGTTTTAATTACATCAACATAGGATTGAAAATTCTATACAGGATTGAGCGAAATATTGTATAAATTGAATCCCTATAAAGTTCCACATAAATGAAAAATAAAAATATATTGAGATGTCACTGGAAAAAAAATACATAACAGTGAGAAATCTAGCACAATCATGTATTTATATATCGAATATAAATATGAAAATATAAAAATAGAAAATACGTCATATTCTCAGATTCATTGATTTAGAATAAATGATTCCTAAATGAAATTAAAAAAAAACAGTGGCTGAAGTTTCAACATACGAAAAAGGAGTACACAGTTCATATAATAACTTTCATTATATAAGTATACGTATATACAATTTGACTAGTTTTTTAACATTTGAATATGGTCTCTATCTATATTGATCTGACACATACAATTAATCAGAATGTAGAAATCAATCAATTTTGCTAGACCCAATCAAATTAACTTCTGACAAGTATCTAATTAAGGTATACTTGTCCCAGGAGGTTCGCGCGTTCTTCCCGCGCGGGAAGTACGCGCGAACCCGCCATTACAGAAAGTGTGCGAAAAATCAGCACTATAAATGACATGGCAGAAATGAAAGCTTCATTTTCAGTTGATATGTTAAGAAGAGTACTTCGACCACGCCACTACTGAGGATAACTGCCGCAGTTGCAGTTGAAGCGTTTGGACATGACCACGGCAAAACCAGGAAACTAACATTCGTTATGAAACTCAATGAGATATCATTCATGGAAGAGTTTGCATATGAAATTTCACATACATGGAAAGCTACCATCCTAAATTGAAACTATTTAGACATCCAACAGTATAGCAAACAATTAATTGGGTCTTCGAAGAAATCCAAATCAATTGCATATTTCATCAATTTGAGAAGACTAAAACCAAATAATGCTAATTTCTATCATTTAAAATTGAAAGTGTCGGTGGCATTTGAAGCAAAAACTGTATTATTTTCTTAGCCACATCTTTTCAAATTATATTTAATTAATCTCATGAGTGAATCCAATAACTGTTATAAAAGTTCGTTTTCAGTTTACGTTAAATGAGAGTTAACTGTGAAATGAATAAGAACCGAATTCACCAAGAGTCAGTTGATTGCCATGGTCAACGAATTCAAAATATTTTTCGTTAGATGTGAAATATACCAATAAAAAAACAAACGGCTAGTAGATGACAATTAATAAAGTCAGTTGTTGATCTCTCCATTGATGAATGAATATGACGAACATCTCAACTTTTTTCAGATCTTTATCATTTTTTATTACCTTAAATTGAACAGTCATACTTGTTCATGTGAATATTTATTATACATTTATTATACATGGCTGTTCTGAGCAAAATCATTGATTTCAACTTAAAAGTTCTTAATCTATATTTCATCATTTGACTTTGTAATATGTATATTTGGAATATTCAGTCTTTCTTACAAAAGAAACGTGACTAAAAACTAGTTACTAAATTAAAAAAAATTACATTATTCTCGACATAAATAAGTGCATTAATACTCTGGAACATTTGGTATAATATATTCAATAACAATTTTCGCAGATCAATATATTCACAACCAAATAAAACGGCAGAATTCAATTTAAAAAAAAAAAGAGTGTAAGTACTCATCTCAACTTGCTAATAGCAGGATTTGGTAACATGATCTGCGAAAGTAACCCTTTTCTAGCTAGGTTGGAGAGGCACCAGTGTCGCGTTAGAATGAACAACGCTGATTGGTTGGCTCTTTGGGTGATCTGTTCTTCTCATCTCTAAAGCGGTATCCTGTAACACCTCCATATATTCTTTTATAAGTGTTGCAATTTGAAATGCCTGTGCAGTGGTGAGTATCACTTTACTTTGTTTACGGTCACTACCAGTTATTATCATCAGACAGTTTAGAGCAGGTGCATAACTCAATATGCTTCCATAGTCATAGGTGCATAAGGTATTACGGGATCGATGTTCCAATAAATGAAGACCTTTTTGATCGACTGCAAGCCATAAAACCCTGGGCCAATTGGATGTGAATGATTGCTGTAAATGAAAAATAAAGTGGTTGCAAATGTTTCTTTTTGTATACTATAGTTTAGAACCACTCTTATCTAAAAATATTTAAATTATATAAAAAATCGAAAGTTAACAGGAAAAGGGCTAGTTAATCCATAGCATCCAAAAGTTTCAACATTTTAGGATTGCTGTTTGTACGGACAAAAAAACATTACAAATACAATTTTACACCTTTTCAAGTAACAGTTCAAAAAGTATATTTGAATGAAAATAACTTTTAATGGCTTGTAGGCATTCTTTAGTTTTTGGCTGATATGATTTTCAAATCATAACTTATTGTTCACACAATTATGTTGTAATTTGCTATTTCAGGTTCCTTCTACTCTCGTAGAATATAACGAACAATACTTTTGAATACGGAACAACAGTAACTCGAAAAACAAAACCATAACAACCTAATAGCAAGGCCTATATGAATCATATGACATTGCATATTTCAACCCCCACCCCAATAGAACATTATTCGGCTGTAGACACTCCGGAACATTTTCCAAATTCATTTCATTTGTACATTTCAAAAAATTCTTGGTAGGTAATTTTTTTATTAGTATATCGGCAATTCGCTCATCAGTTGGGCAGAAACGTATATTAATTACACCTTCATCAACTTTGTCTCTCAGGATGTGGAATTTAATGTTGATGTGTATAGACTTTCTGTGATAGCCTGGATTTCTTGCAAAAAATATACACCTATAACTTGTCTTTATAAAGTGCTATCACAATTGTATCCTTATGAATCTCTGATTCTTACCATATACTTTTTATCCACATACAGCCTCTGGTGATGGAAAAGCTACCCTATATTGCTTTCTGAAGAACCATGGATAATCATTAGCTCTAAATAAAATCCAATTGTTAATTTTCCACCATTTTTGATGTTATGTGGTTCAAAATAATATCACAGATCACCAAATTCATATGCTGCGTTTATCGACCACCTAACATTACACAATATAGGGCACTATTCTCTTCACTTTCAAACACCACTGACTTTCTGCAAATCAATCATCCCAATGCAGAAATTTCCATATTCGGTGACTTCAATGTCCACACAATGTCGAATGGCTCAAATATTCAGATTATAAATGAGCCAACCAGGATTCCTGACAGTGATGGAGAAGATGCTAGTCTTCTGAATCTATACCTACTAATCCAGAAATTCACACAGTCACCGTAAGGTCTCCATTGGGATCTTCTGATCACAAACTCATTTCAGTGTTGAGTGAATTACTGATACAATCTAAGTCGCGCAAAGTTTGGCATTACAGACCATTTCCGAAATTTTCCCTGGCTAGATGTTTATTTCAGCTCTAAAGATCCACCAAATTGTGCTTCTGAAGCACAATTTGGTGGAAATTATTGTATCATCCATGGATGCATATATTCCTTTTTCAATGAAACGAGCTTCTAACGGCAAACCTCGGTCAACAAAAATTGAGAACAAGCTGTCGCCTCCAAAAATCTCGCCTACCGGCAGTGGCGCAAAAATCCCAGTGCCGAAAACCGAACTACAGGTGCAAACTTAGGATAAACGAAAGCAAAGAACTTCACAATCAGGGAATTAGAAATAAAATGCTTGCCAATCTCAAGGGGTCTAGATACTTCTGGTTGGTGGCTAAAGCTGTTAGTCAGAACTTTACAAAATCCACAACTTTCACCACTAACACAAACAGATTCAATTCAGGTTCAATTGCAACTACAGCCATAGAAAAAGCAAATCTACTCGCTGAACAATTTGCGTCCCACTTCACAGTCGATTTTCTGGGAAAGTCACCACCCACTATTCCCACAATAGAATCCACAATGTCGGAAATAACCTTTCGACATCGTCTAGTCAGGCAAAAATTTAAAACAGCTCAATATCAACAAGGTGCCTGGTCCTGATGAAGTGCTCGTCATCGTACTTAAAAAGTGCGCAAATGAACTCGCACCAGTATTTTGCAAACTTTTCAACCTGTCTTATAAGAATCAGGTTTTTCCTTCTTGCTGGAAGATTGCTCGCGTTCAGCCTATTCCCAAAAAGGGCAAGTAAACTCTTCCAAATAACCATAAACCAGTCGCTTTGCTATCAGTGATATATCAAAAAACATGGAGAAAGCCGTAAACCACCATATCCCTAAATATTTGGAAGGCTTCAACATCTTGAGCGATCATCAATATGACTTTCGAAAATAAAGATCAACAGGCGACCTTCTATCGTATGTCACCCATATTTGGAATAACGCAATCGTGAAACATGGAGAGTCAAGAGCAGTTGCGCTTGATATTTATAAGACCTTTGACCGTGTGTGGCATGAGGGGTTTGCTGGCCAAAATTTGATGCTATAGCATGTTGGATCATTTTTGTGTATGGCTCTTCAGCTTCCTGAAAGAACGCTCCCTGCAAGTGGCCATCGACGAATATCTCTTGAATACTTTCACCTTCAACGCTAGTTGTTCTCGGGGAATCATACTGTCTTCAACCCTCTATTGTATATCAACAACTAATTGGATCATCAAAAATTTGTCTCTCTTCTATAGATACTTTTACGGGAAATGTTCAAGTGACTTAGCACATTTGATTCCACCAACATATCATAAATACGCGATGTACTGTGGCTGCTCATCGTTTTGAGGTTCAACTCAGTACTCCTCTAACTTCACTGTTTAAGAACTATTTCACTTGGAGAACTGCGTTTATGTGGAATAAACTTCCTGAGAACTTTTTTTCAAATGTATTTAATCTCCAGCGATTCAAATCCAAGCACCGCTCTAAAAGCGCCTTGATGATTTTCCTGTAGTGCTTGTGTTTTGTCCTTAAAAAAACTCAAAGAATAGCTCAAGTCTGGTCTGAATCCAAGTATCGCAAACATCCTAATAGTTGTCTGTATGATTTATCGAAATTTTGATAATTTTCTTCATTCACTGCCAGTTGCCACTTTTCGATCTCACAGAAAATTTTTCGAAAACAGAACTTAGATAATTTTGTTGACTGATAGTTAATAAGAACTTCTATTGATTTCCAATCTCAAAAAAGCTGTCAGAGTCCCTACGTCTCCCATTTCAAAACGATTCAACAGTTTTCGTTTCATTTCTTGAACATCATTCAAAATATCAGGTGCAATAAAAAATTACGTTCCTTTTAGAATTCGAAGGTCAGGTTAGGTGGAATGTTATATCATTGCATTTGTTGCGGTTGTTTTTTGTTGGTTAGCTGTTCTCTCTATACATTTCATATTTCAAATGTCACTTGTGAAAAAAAATTGAGTCAGAAAAAAATCATTGTTCTGAATTTACACCATCATGTAATATCATCATAGAAAAAATTTCGGAAATCGGTATGAACCCCGTAATTTTTGGAAATATTTTAAATGTCAAAACCAATGCATTTCATATACAGAAAGCAGCTGGCATTTTTTTGTTCGGTTGTTCACTTCATCTCCATATTTGAAATGTCAGTGCTGAAAAAAAATGACGTCATTTTGATACTGTGATAGGCTATATATATCTCTAATCGAGTCCGACTAAAAAAAAAGTTCTGAATTCCAACCATCATGTAGTATCATTCCACAAAAAACTAGAAAATCCGTGAGTATCCCGTAAAGCAGAATTTTCCCTCGGTCCGCAACCGTCTGAATGAATGAGCTCCAACGGGCGATTCGAATGTATTAGTTGTCATCAATTTTGTTAAGGCCACGTAGAAGTTTGTTTTTGCATAATTTTGGAAAAGAATGAACTTCGGCTGATTTCTCTTCAATTCTTAGAGTTTATCACTCCTTTCGGTTTCTCCTATTATTCTATTTCCTTTTTCTGTTTTTCAATTTTCTAATTTTCGTCACTTTCTTATGGATCAGGTGATTCTTTCATTCTTAACCCTCTCAAAAATTAATAAGCACGCCCCCGATTTGCTGTCAACTGGGCTTACTTCTACTCTCAATCATTATTGGTTTTAGTATAGTACTAGTAGCTTATAATATTTCAATCATCAGATTCACCTAACTATTACACAAGGACACGTTGAACATTCAATTTAAGACTAGTAGATAAGGCAATATGTGAAATTGATTTTATATAACTTACAATATTTCAATTATTAGATTCACTTAACTATTACACAAAGACACGTTGAAAATTCAATTTAAAACTAATAGATAAGGCAATATATGAAATTGATTTTATATAACTTACAATATTTCAATTATTAGATTCACTTAACTGTTACATAAGGACACATTGTAAAATCAATTTAAGACAGGTAGGTAAGGCAAATTGTAAAATTAATTTAAGACACTCAAAACGCAGGTACCTAAAACAGGTAGAAACCTGTATCTGTGCATGGTATACCTGTATAGCTGTATGGTATAGATAAGGATAACTTTGTAGGTATGATTAGTTTGATCTTCCTCTCGAAGATGATCACTTGGTGATCGAAACAATGTCGAGGTATTGAAAGAACGGTTTGGTGTTGAGGAAAAGCTCCAATAATATTCATTACTACACCAAAGGTTCCAAACAGTGCATAACAGTATAAATTTTGTCAATCATGCCACTATGTTTTTTCATCCCTATAGAGCGCATTACCTCAAATCTCAAAAACAAGACTTCTGTGGGAATCTTCCTGTGTAAATATCAAAAACGAATTCTTCACAAAGAGTTTATTTTCAAATACAATTATATTTCTCTTTTCTTCAAGATATTTCCCCATTTTTTTATATAAAGATGGAACCAATTTCAATTTAGACTGCGAATATATTATAGCACCTCAAACAACTAATCAACCCGTCCTTACTTTCAGGAAAATTTCCTGAACAATTATAAGTTTCGAAAGCCATGCCATTTTTTAAAAAAGAAGATGAACAACTGATTGAAAACACTACAATACAATTACACTGGTTAATACCATCTTCAAAGTTATTGAAAAAGCTGCAACGATAGGTTCATTTCTAGACAAATACGAAATCTTGCTAAACTTTCAATATGGTTTGAGA